CAGGCAAAGTTGGTCTTGTTCACTCGAACATAACGCACATGCGTTGTAAACGAACGCAATGCACGGTATGTGTTGTATTCGTTTACAACGCATATGCCCTCACTGGAGCCTACCACAGCATGTGTTTGACCAAGTTGAAAAATAATTAAAAATAAATAAACATTCGGCAAGTCACTCCGGCTACTGATCAAGTGGTGTCAATAGTTTATACACAGACTGAGCAATTGATATATTCCTACTCCGGTTAGTTCTCCTACAGCAGCATCACATAGAACTGGCAATGGTAGACTACTACAGCTCTAAACTAATGTTGTCTGTCAGGTGTTAGCAGTCTATCAGACCTCAACTAATCAAAATAAAAATAAAAATAAATCAAGTGCACAGATGTATGCGGTAATGGAAATAAATGCGTTTGTGCACGAGCACCAATTGGAACCTTCCCTTCCCCTGTCTTCAACGATTCTGACTTGCATCATCAAGCAGCAGTGTCTGTCGTGTGCACAACGACCCACCCCTGTACCCAGGAACCCGCTTATTACCAGTACTGCCCGTTATTTATCCTCGCGTGCAATGATCCTTACATCCGACTGATCTGGCTGATCAAGAGGCAGTTTAAGGACAGCCCCCAAGGTCCTCAGGAATTATTTAACGTCACAGACAGGACGACGATCACAGCCAATGTCCAGATCAGATCCGGCCAGAAATAATTTATAGACGGTCTGGTAGACGTCTTGCACACGACGATCACAGGCAATGTCCAGATCAGATCCGGCCAGAAATAATTTATAGACGGTCTGGTAGACGTCTTGCACAGGGCTGGTCAGTCCACGTTCCCTCTACAGCGCAGCACGAGCTTAAAGGACAAAGCAGCAAAGCATGCGTGCTCTACTCCCATGGGTTGGCATGGTGACCGTGACCCTTGCTTCGACCAGGGCCCTTAAGAGGCACTGCCCTCAAGTATGCTGACTCTCATGGTAAACCGCCCACAACTCCTGAACCAGAAGAGGACACTTAAGTTGAACTCACTTCCTCATGGTAAGAAGAGATTGAGATGGGAAAATAAGGTAAGGGAACAACGTACCTGAAGATAGCTGCACCCAACCACAGATTTCTCACGAATTGGGCCGACGTGCATTTCGATGACCGGTTAATAGCCTCAGTACCACTCACAACGCAATGCAGTGCCACCTCAACCAAAATGCATGTCAGCATACTCTCATCATCCCACATACACATGCTGTCGCCACAGCTCCCACGATGTCGCCACGGCCTTCATGCCAGCCTCCCCTCTACCCGGGAGTGGCAAATCATGCCAGCGCCAATGTATCCTCGCTGCGTAGAAGCTTCGTCAGCGCACCAAGCAACAATGTCGCCAGTGCCAGTAACGCCGATCTCAAACCAGCTCTGATACCAAATTGCAAGGAATATGAGCGAGAGCTATAGACAGATATCCAAGTTGCAAAATCACGAAGAAGCTCAGATAGTCATGAACCAAGCAGAGAGTGCAATGTATCAAGATACCGTCCAAATAAGAGCAATACAATGAACTCAAATGTCAATGTCACCAGTCGCTGGTCACACCAACAAAGTAGCCAATGTTGCACTTATTGTCTGGCGCCCAGTGCCCAGCCTATTCTACTCGGCCTATCTAGCCTATCTACGTTCTTGCAACTGGATCACTCTGAAGTCGAAGACCAATGTACATGACATCAACACCAATGCCGACCACCAGCATACACCAGGTAAGTTCTCTCTCCTCCCCTCTTCACCCCTTGTCTTCCCACAGCATGCGCCTCCTATTCGAAGACCACCTTCGCCATAACCTGCCCAGCGCCCAGCTGCCCTGCTATGGCTGCTGTGCGCCCACTGCCTCAGCAGTGCCCCTCTCCACTGCCGCCGTTCCCTCCTCCAACCAGCAGCGCCCATGCAGACACTAGCATCGCAACGCAGCAGCGTGTCCACATTGCCTGCCTACGCCAGAATGCCACTGCCAGGGGCTCACACTTTCCTTTATGGAAAGTGTGTCGCTGCTGACTGTCCTGGCCAGGCGTGTGGGGGCCCAGTAGCTTCAGTTGGGCCTCAAGTGTCTGCGCCCAAGCCCAGTTTCCGAAACTGGTCTGGGCCTCGTGCAGTTAGGCACGTTCAGGCAGCCACCCAGCCTCCATGTGTGACGACAATGCAGCTTCCTCATTGACGCATAACCAGTCCGTGATGTGTCGGCCTCACACAGCGTTTGCCCACGGCACAACCGCGTGAGCCCTGGACTCAACTGTACAGCGCAGTAGTTTTGGAAAGAACCTGGAGGCTCATGTTGTGCTGTAACCAACTGGTTTGCTGCAACTGTCTGAGTACCCACATATGGAAACATTGTCAAGAACAGGCCTCACTTGGATATTCAGGCCCGCCTTCACTTTAGGCGGGCACGGGGCTTGCTGGGGTCCACAGCCCAGAACGCTTGTATGTCTGATAGGGGCTCTGTGAGGCTCATTCCTCGCACTTGCATGCACATTGACAATTTGTTGATCTAACCTCCTCCCTACAGCAAACCGGCTAAGGCACAGCCATCAGCACAGCGGAGAATCTTCCATCATTCTTGCCTCTTTTTTTTTTTTTTTAAATAAAACGATTTTTGGTAACCCAACTTTGGCAATCTTCATTTCTCATTTTTGTTGACCAGAAACTCTAAAGAATGCAGCTGATAATTTTTTTTAAGAAAAAACAAATAAAAAAGAAAGCCTGAATCAGTGATGCGAAAAAAAAAAGGAAAAAAGTAGGGCAGGTTCCAGCATATCACCAGGGAAAAAAAAGAATAAAAAAATATTTCCACTCACGAAAAAATATTTGCATCAAACCAGATGCATATGTCAATCAACGTAGCTGCAGCCCTGTAGGCCTAACAATGCAGGCTGGGCAGGGCAGGGTTGGTAATTCTAGTGGGTTGTGAGTCTTGTGACCGTTCCGCGGTAATGGTGGTTTGACATTGATCACCAACATCAGATGGAATTCACTTGTACAGACAAGGGCCGAACCGCAACATGGATTTCGTTTTCATAATGCCACTAATGCATCTCATAGGTGCTAACATTGTAAAAGATACAAGTGGACCTGTGCGTCAATGCCGTGCCCAAGGTCCAATCCTGCCTGCATGAGGGACAGGCCGTACGAAACCAAGATGGAAAAAAAAACACGTCTGCCACCTGTGCATGGATGCCCTCAGACCCTCACCAGATGTCAGCTAGTTTATAGGAAGATACAAATGAAAAATAAAAATAATAAAATAAAATAAAAACATCTATAGGCATGCTCGCGCTATGACTTTTGTACTTGTTCAGGGACAGAATTGCAGCCAGATGCATCCAGGCACTGCCGTACATGCAGTCAGATACTTCTGAGATAGGGCTAGCGCGAGTATCCCCTACATGTCGAAGCACAGACCTCACCAAATCTCCAAAGTGAGCATGATCTTCGGTTAGAACCTCGGAAGATATATTTAAAAAAAAGAAAAAGAGAACGACACGTCTGCCAGCTGTGTGTGGATGCCCTCAGGCCCTCTCACCAGATCCCCAAAGTGGGGATGAATCTTGAGCTAGAATAGGGGAAGATACGGAAAACAAAAACAAACCAAAAAGTATTATTCTTTAGCCCATGTGGTGTGAGTCGATCAACACCCCTACTGTCACGTCTGCCAGCTGTGTGCATGAATCTTCAGCCAGAATATGGGAAGATTCGCTGCCATTATTATGCTTTACCTCTTGCCAGAAGCAGCGGATCAAGGGCCCCTATGGTTGAGTCTGCCAGCTGTGTGGCCAACCACAATGAGACAAAAAAAAAGCAGCAGCGAAACGACATGTTTGCCAGCCTTATGCCCATGCCCTCAGCAGGTGTCCAAAATGGAAATGAATCTTCAGCTAGAACATCGGTAGATACACCACCACAGTAGTAGAAGCATCATGACCAGCGGAGCCAGACAAAAAAGAATTAAAAAGCATGGAACGACACCAAAACGACCACACACTGCCATGTACTCGTAATCAAACATTCCGGAACTTCGTCCACATCCACCGGATCCCAAAAAAGAAAGGGGTGCCGCCCCTCGACGGTTTCTCTTGGGCCCAGCAGGGGGGCATGACATGGCCCTGCTATTCTCTTTGAGAGTATATATATAGAAAAAAAAGACCACCATCCTCATCCATTCAACAGATGTCGCTGTGCAAGAAAGGACATTTAGTTCGATTTTTAGTTCGACAAAAATCTCCATTTGCAAGAAGTACCTTTCCCCCCGTTTCAGGAAGTTTCATCACATTCCACATCTTTCATTTACCTCCTGGAAAACGCAGACATGAGCAATAACCAGCTATATTTATAGATAAATCACACTGTCCCGCCCCTTCTCGATTCAGAATGGAAAAGACGGTGAGGTGTCAGACTACTCTTATCTATACGAGGCCTTGAGACTCGATCAACCACCACATTGTCCTACCAGGTAGGCGGAACAGAGCCCATCGTCTGTCCATGGCGGGTGGCTCCCTCCAATTTCACTTGAACGTAGATGGATGGGGGAAGCGTTGACTGGGACTTGCCAGCGCTTCGCGGCCAGCCGTCCTAATTTGGCGGAAAGTCCCGGAAACGGGAAGTAACGCAACCAGTCCCTGCATCGCTTTACCCAGCCCGCGCAAAATATCCAGGACGCATGCACCGGTGGCCCGTTGGGAATGAAGAAAATAATCAAATACGACTACAGACTAGAAAACTGACCAGGAAATCCATCAAACAAACTACAGAAAGCAAGCAGACACAAGCATCTGACTCATCAAACAAACTAAAGAAAGCAAGCCGAGACATGCATCTGACTCTAACCTAACACAATTAAGAGAAGATAAAAGAATGCTAGTTGAGAAGAATTGCGGTAGCACTTTAAATTTCAAGCAAAAACAAACACCGGTGTTTGTAATGCCCTTAAATTTCAAAAGACAAGACGACGAGAGAATGTAATGAAATACCTTGGCTGCCTTGTGCAATGGTGTTGCAGCGACCAAGGCAATGATCGTTGAACAATTAGGGTTAGCAATGAGTGCACCTTTTCCGTTCCCAACCTTGATTCCATTCAAGGCTTCTGGATTTACCTGCTCACCCCAGTGCACAACAAACACATACAGACACACGCACACACACACAGAGAGAGAGAGAGAGAGAGAGAGAGAGAGAGAGAGAGAGAGAGAGAGAGAGAGAGAGAGAGAGAGAGAGAGAGAGAATAAGGACATCATGAGCAATACGCACAGGTCATTTACCAAGGAGAACTTTACCTTTTTTTCTTTTTTTTTTTGAAGCCCACAAAAACTCAGCTCCTCCACACAGGCACTACTACGACTGCAAGTTTGAATCAAATACAAAGGGCAACAGTGAGCACAAACCATACAAACATCACTTTTTGCTTGCTTTCTCTGAGCAAAAACAGACTTAGAGCATACTCACACTGGACCCTCTAAATCACAAAATGAGCGGCCAGATCGAGCCCTTTTACAAGGACTCAGATCGGGCTGCTCATTTTACCATTTTGCGATTTCGAGGGCCTACTCAGCCCTACTGTGACTATGCCCTTAAACCGCCAGTAGCTTTCCCGGCCTTTTTCTATACCTCCAAGCATGCCAGAAGGTGCCCCCACAGGGTCGGCACAGCTTCGGGCTGCACGCGGGAATCTGCCAGCATTTTTCGTTTTTTGGTGTCTGAAAAGTCGCAGAAACAAAAAAAAGGAAAGAAACATGGGCACACCTGGGGGGGAAAAAAAAAGAAAGAAACACGGGCAGCAGATACGTTTGTGTGTGAAGAATTGCCACTGACAATGTGCCCCCCGTTGTCGCTGACAGCTGGATCTCAAATCGCGCCGTTGTGACATTAAAGGCCTCGCTCCACTCGCCCAACGTACGAAAAGGGATTGAATCTTTCGCTAGAACATGGAAAGATACACCACCATACTTTGTCTTTTGCACTTGGGTGATAGCCCAGCGAGGCCGTAGGCGAGTACCGTTTCACTTTTCTTCTGTACTGCATGTCAGGTGCGTTTCCGGTTTTTTCTTTTTTCTTCCTCTTTCATTGTTTTGCAGCGCTCTCTTTTCAGGCGCGTTTTGTCTGACGACTGATGTCTGCTCCCAACTGGAGTGCCCGCCCTCCCTCATCTTATTCTTTTTTTTTTTCCTTATAACAAAGGCAGCCCTTTTCTTCGGTTTGCCCTACCGCAGCATCAGTAACTGGCCGCGGATACATTCGGCAAGGGCAGCTGAAAGGTACTGGCGGTTTAACATAGTGCAACGCACCAAGTTCAAAATCCCCACATCACTTGTCTAAGGGTCCTAGCTTTTGGTCACGTCAAGTTCTGGGGTGAAAAGTTATATCCACAGCCTTTGAAAAGGGCACTAGAGAGTCCTTTGGTCGGTAGGCCCAGGGTCAAGAATCAAAACGAGGCACACTGTGCCTGTAGAGTCCGTAGCAGAGCTTAGGAAAATCAGTACTCAGGCCCAACTTGGGCACAATAGTCAAAAGAGTCAAAGACTCAACCACAGCCAAAGATCTCACACACATCCAAAGGCTCGGTGCAGACTCCAGCAGTGTCCAAGGCCCACAAGGTCCAGGCACGAACTGGCCGCCAGTACATCTGAGCCACAGAGGTTGAGAAATCTCAGCCTTGCGAGGAGGCACAAAGAGGAGGCCGGGCCAAGTCAAAACTACAAAACAACGGCGTTCCCATTACTAGACTATTTTTCTATCTGTGAGGATAGCCCAGCCATTGATTATGCATGTCTAGCCCTTGATCCATGTAATCATTGATTATGCGCCTCTAGCCATTGATCCATGTAATCTATGGCCCAGAAGGAAGAACACCTGCACCAGGAACCTCACCTCAGGCAATTTTGTTACCAAAACCAATCCTTTTTGTTACCAAAAACTTTCATTGACAAACAACCGAACCCTCGAAGCCTCGACCTTCCACCATTACCGATGGAGATAAGACTGGGCCTTCACCATATTCACTATAGCCACCCGGCAGAACTCAGGTACGAGTCGTATGATCCATGAGAATACTCCGTTTGTGTTCAGAACAACAAGAAAGTTGTCCCACATGAGTTCAGCGGTTGGCCCCTTTCAATTTTCCAAACTGACCCACTAGGGTTGCTACCCCAAAAAACTCAACATTCTACCCACCCATCATATCCCTAAATAATGTACAGGATGCCCATATTCAAATACAATACAGCCCTAGCGGATCAGTTTGGTAACAAAGAGAGCCACCGTCGTGGCAAAGACAAACTGTTATCTATGCAAAAATATAGGATGCCCATGTCCAAATAAAACACAGCCCACGCAGTCCTTGAATACAGCACACTCCAAACATGAATGCAATTACTCACTGGAACGAGGGTCAGTTTGGTAACAAAGAGAGCCACGGTCATGGCAAAGAGATATACTGTGCTCTATGCAAAAATGCACAATGCCCTTGTTCAAATAAAACACAGCCCGCACAGTCCTTGAATACAGCACACTCCAAACATGAATGCAATTACTCACTGGAATCATTACAACATGCCCTGTATTCAAGTTCGAGCTTGTATTCGAATAGAGGACGCAGCTTGCAGCACATTCCGTGTAATACTCAAATACAAGACACCTTGTGCAGAACATCCCAAAAATTGAATACAGCACACCCTGCATGTACTCAAAAACCCCAAACCCGACTATACTACACCCTCAATTCCACCCTTCTAATGGAACCCTGCAGCTACCCCCACATACACACCTCATTGACAAATACAGAGATGCGGGAAACCCAACATGGAGATAATCACAATGTACGGATCTTAAACCACCAGTACGTTTCCTGGCCATTTTTTTAGAGTCGCGGCGTGCATGCAGTCTCGACTCTCGGGAAGTATCGGGGCACCATTTCGCTGAACATCCATCCAGGCAAAGCGGGTCGCATGCGAGGCTCATTTTACCAGGATGGATATCCAGCAAAACGGTGCCCCGGTACTTCACAAAACTTGTGCCTCCATGCAAGCCACATATTTTATTTCTTAGCTGGGAAACGTACTGGCGGTTTAAAGCATACTTAAATGACAAGCACACGGCCTCTTTCCAGCCCTGCAGGACCACTATGGCTGGCGGCGCCAGTCAAAATAGAAAAAAAGTGCACCGCTGGTGATTTGGAAAAGCTTGGCGCACTGCCTCCAGGCCCCGGTGTTCTGTTGGTCCAAAGCATGCTGCCTAAGAAAGGCCTCAACGCAAATCTACTCTGGCTAAGTCCATATGCTACGGATCCAAACATAGCAGATGTTGTTGTCAAAGTCGATCATCGATAGCATAGACCATTTCCTTTGCCTCCAAACGGAAAGGAAAACACAACATCGTCAAATACCACCATCATCATCAGATGATACACTATTTTGCTTTACTCTGGCACACATCTCTCTGCCTACAGTTTACCGGGCAGTTCTGTTTGACGATATATTATCCCGGATGAATTTGGGAGGTTTGGACTAGGCACTGCAGGCAATGATAGGCATTCAGCAAGGGGATTCGAAGAGTTGTTGTGCTTTAATTGTGGTGTGAACACGGTACTGCTCCTCGCAAGAGGAAGAGCATTTGCAGAAGGATGATTTGGAAACTTTCTTTTTGCGCCTGTAAAAGAAAAAGGAGAAATCATCTCCTAACACAGTCTCTCACATGTCAACCAACTCCCACCACAAATCCACCCCCAAACCCACTCACTCAAGCCAATCATCAGCTACTCACTTCTGGAACAACCAGCGGAATATCCTTGTCCATGCGGAAAGCTGAGCTGTTGTCAACCACAATTGCTCCAGCATTCACAGCTGCAGGTCCGAACTTCTTGCTGCAACGCAGCACACACACACACACACACACACACACACACACACACACACACACACACACACACACACATGTTTGACCCCATGCAACCCAACCCCCCAAAATTGTCAAGTCTCTGCAATACAAACGTCGCCCAAACAATTTCAACTGACTTGGCCACATACGCCAAGATCTTTTTCTTCTTCTTCTTTTTAGCCTCCTCATCCCCACCTTCCCCATACTCCTCTTGCTTCCCCCCTCCTTCCTGACGTTCCCTCCTCCTTCGTCTATAGTTCTTCTTCTTCTTCTTCTCATCATCATCATCATCATCATCATAATCAGTCTCGTCTTCTTTCATAACAAAATTCTGCAAGGACAAAACAGAAAAGACAGGGAAGAAAAGAAAAAGGGAGAATGTTTGATGCAAGCTTTGGAAACTTGGCAAACACACAAAGAGCCCGGTAGACATGTTTCTTGTAGCTCCGAAACTGCTAGGAGCATGAAGCACGGTGCTAGGGATCAAATCGAAGACGAGATAAGCGCCCCCACAACAGAGGAGCAGAAACATTCCCTATGAATCACGAACGCATGTTAACCGACGAGAGTACCAAAACAGTCAAGAAAGCAATTTCGTCAAAACCTTCCAGTCCTGCTCTAGCATGTTTACTATGTGCCTTCAATGAGTATGAGTTCCTCTGTAGTCTAGGTTCCTCTAGGAAGCTTTTTCATGGCGTCCGGTTGGTTGACGATGTTTCAGTATTTACCTGCTTCGATCCGAGAGATAAGATGTCCAGGCTGATGGCCGAAGATAGGATTCAAACGTTCAGTGTTTCATATGATGACGAGTTGGTGTTGGAAAGGACTAGCGAAGGTTGCGAATTGGATTATCAGGGTTGTATCTTGAAGGTTTTCCAGAATCCAGCAAAGATTCTGTGTGCTGCAACACACAAGAACGAGAGAAGCATTCTGGGGCCACTGATTGTGTTTCAGAATTTGCAAGATTACATGTCTTACTCGCCTAAACAGCAGAAGATGGCGGTTCTAGGTGCCTTTCTACACAGACTTAAAGATTTAAACTGCATGCCTGGGGCGGATTTGTGCTTTTTATTCACATTGAAGATTGAGTTAGGATAAAGAGGTTTTCCAGATGATTTCTTTGATCGAGTAATTAGTATATTATCTAGACGATTCAACAATAGATGGGAACGATGGGTACACTGTCTTACTGGGTGGTCCAAATGCTATGAGGTACGGAGACCAGCTCTTGAGTATAGTACGGACACTTAATTTTTCTGCTGGACCAAGTTGGGTCCGTGTGTTTTGCTACAGGGCTTTTTCAGATAGGTTCGCAAAAAGGCGGGTCCCAGTATTTCGCTTTGGTTCGTGGGTACCTCTGTTAGTAGAATAGCCTACCCTATATATTCTAGTAGTTCTACTCTAGTTCTCATTCCAGCCAGGTTTTGACCCCTGAAGACGCCAGACTGGTGACTGGTAGAAACCGGTCGGGTCCTATTGCGAGAATGTGTGCGCTATTTTGACGAAAATTTTCAAAGCGCCACCTGCGCTCGGAGTTGTGTCTTTGTTCTTGTCTCTTCGTCTACGTCTGTCATGTCGTATGTCCTGACTATGTCTCGACTCTGCGGTGTGTTGAAGTGCGACTTAGCACTTCACTTTTTAACTACTTTTAACTACTCCCTCAAGACAGGGGGGGGGGGGGGGGGAGAAAGAAGAAAAGAAATGGCCACTCATTCAGAATCTCTTCATGTGGGAGGACAGACATAGCCTGTTTACATTTTGACAAAAGAAAACAAAAATAGCGCAATCAGAAAGCAGCTCAGCCTCTGCACATCCAGGTCCAAAGTCTGCATGAACTTGGCCAAATTTAGATTCAAGTTCATTCCAACAGGGCAGGTTTTACAGGCAGTTTATGTACTCTTGAACCTTTCTCCCTTTACTAGTGAAACGAGAAAACTGCCACATATAAGCCTACCCCCTTTGCCCGAACACAACAGTCTTAATGACTGTATTGGGGCAGCGTACACATCTGATGAGGGTGTGTTGTGATGTCGTAAGTCTGAACCATTTCTCGGTTTATGTGTGTCATCCTTTGGCACGGGCCATGCTAATCTTCTCCGTATCGTTCCAATTTTACTGGATGTCCCAAAGCGCGGAAATCCTCTGTAGCTTTCAGATCTCATTCTGCATTCTGTCAGCTTTTCTGTATATATTATATGGAAGTAAGTGCCCTAATGCTTAGGAGCTGTGGGCTCAGTGAATATAAATGTGAATGCCAAAGTCAAATCAAGTCCGGCTTGCAACAGACGATAAATCTCCGGAATATCTGGACTCTCTTAAGAGCTGCAGGGTTCATTCCATGACACGCAAGACCCGTTTTGCTAAACACAGGAACAATTGGGCAAGTTCCTGTGTTCAGCAAAACAGGTCTTGCGTGTCATACAATGAACCCTGCAGCTCTTACGGACACATATCGTCTGTTGCAAGACGGACTCAATTCGACTTTGGCATTCGCGTTCATATATTTCACTGAGCCCACATTTGGGCACTCACTTCCATATAATATATTGTCACATAACTATGAACTAAAAGAGCGCACTCTGCGAAACAAACGGCAGAAACAAAAAAATAAAAAACAAGACAAGCATGAAGGGAAACCATTCATTTTTCTCATTCTTCTTTTAACTCCCCCTTCACCGTGCCTCTCACGTACAAGCCTCGCCACGTTGATGAAGTTGAGCGCGAGCTGCCCCCATCCCCGTGTACCATAACGGTCCACTTGTACGCTGTGAGAAAGGGGTAGAGTGAAGGGGGAGGGGATAAACACAGGGAGGAGAGATGGAGAGCAAACAAACAAAGAACAATAAAGGGAAAGTAAGGGAAAGTACGGAGTGTGGAGACTCGAGAATGAGTCTGTCCTTGACGACAAAGAGGATATACATTGTAAGGATGAGGTGGATGAACACATGGAAGACCTAGCTGAGCATTCTCAGTGCAACAATTGCCACGACGGCTGACATTGAGCATGCCCACCATACACCCCCAACAAATGGCATGTCGATTGCAGGCCAAAATGAAGGATGGACGGTCACCACAAAAGACCATGCATTCAGTATAGCGCCCAGGGCTGCAAAATGGACATATAGTGTCCGAATGCGGAGGGTGCCTGCAGTCAGGAACGAAGGGACAGTCTTGTGCACACATGGATGCAGAAACCATGTCATTGCAGTGATTGTGACAGAGACGATGGCGGCTATAACCGAGTGTAACAATAGTTGTGGCTGTGCAAAGGAGAAGGCCGCACAATGTTGGTACACTGTTTTGCTGCTGCATGGGCCCAGAGGAATGATCTTCCACACAAAAGACATTGCGGACGGTCTGTTGTGGCAAGAAAACAGCATCATTTTGTAAGAAAGCAGTGACATCAATCATGGCATGGACCATGGTGTCGTTGTCCCACTGCTCCGAGTGGTCAAAGGCATGTACAATGGCCATGTAATGGCCAGGCCCATGCACAATGCAGGCAGAGATGTGGGATGGAGGATTAAACCACTCACCTGCTGGAGCATTGCGTAGTTCAAGTTGACAGTCCCTCATTGCTACTTGTAGGATGGCAATGGTAAAGCCTCCTTCACTCGTATAATTACAGTCCTCTGGCTGTAGTTGGGGAAGATCAGCATCAAGTTGAAGGGCGATTGCAAGGAAGTCTGATGGTGTATAAAACGGGCGGTGGAGAATGTGAAGACAGATATTAGTTGCGGTCAGACCACAGAGATCGGTGAGGTTCTCAGGCTGGTTTGTTGGATGCTGGCCAACAATTTGCAGATCACCCAAATGGTGTTGCAAGGCCATACTGTGTTGGGTTGTTTGCTGGTCAGTCATTTGCAGATCAGCCACGTGGTCTGCGCGTGGCGGAGCACAAATTTGTGGTTCGCCCGAACAGTACTGGTCAGCCATTTGCAGATCCCCCATATGGTCTACGCCTCGTGGGGTCAGCTGCAATCCGAGCAGATCATGTTCCAATCCCTCAACGTTTAGGGCTGCATCCTGAGTAGGGACTGTCCCTCGAGTCGGGAGTGTATTCTGGGCAGGGACCACATCATGTTGTACAGGTGAGTCCTGAATACCTAACGCCGCAGGGTATAAAACATCGTGCCGTGGCTTCCTGCACGCAGCTGGACTGCCTGCAGGAGGCATAAGAGCGGATATTGCCGTTTGGAACAAAGGAACCGCAACAACCTGTGGAGGAGGCACAAAGAGAATCAAGGCAGACAAAGAAACAGGTTGCTGATACCCGAACAAGTGACAATGTCGTGGATGTCGTCGACGATACACAACAAGAGTAATGGTGTTGCAAACAAAAAATGAACTTGTCCCTAACAACGAAGGTTGAACAATGAGAACGATGGAAACTGGAGAGTGTTTGCAAGCAAGACCGTAGAGGAGATGGGAGTGGTGAGGAGGAACATAGTCGTCCGCGGCCAAACACAGAAAGAGATGAGAGGGGAGTGGATTGGGCAAGATTTTGAAATAAAGAACGTGAGTGTCAGAGAGACTTTGATGTTCTTTGCACTGAAGCTGCAGGAAAGGAAGTTGTAGCAGTAAAAACTACACTAGGGGGATTTATAGTTATGGAAACTGTTGTATTGAAAACTTCAGCAGTGGAAATTGTAGCAGTAGAAACTGCAGCAGTGGAAACTGCAGCAGTGGAAACCGCAACAGTGGACACTTCAGCAGTGGAAACTGCAGGAGTGGAAACTGCAGTAGGGGAAACCGCAACAGTGGACACTACAGCAATGGAAACTGCAAGAATGGAGACTGCAGCAGTGGAAATTGCGGTAGCAGCAAATGAGCAAGCAGGGGCAGGACGAGAGCGTCGTGGGGGCAAAGAAGAAATTGGGATGATACAAGGACCATCGCAGCATGTATCGGAACCAGTGAGAAACATGCGTCACATGTGTAGGATAGCAACATTGGCGGGAGCGCATGTAGCAGGTCTACCCCTTA